ACCCTCCCCCTCAGAAGTCGTGGGGGTTAGGGGTAGGGTTCGCATGTATCCTGGCTCCCAGAATCGGCGTTTACGAAGCGGCCCTGGGCGTCTACTGAGCAGCCTGTCCTGTTCGGTGTTCCTTCCTTTGGGTGCGTCTGCGAGACGGTGCTTCTTGTTATGTTTGTTTCTTCCTAGTCTCTCTGTTAGCAGCCGAACTTAACGGGCGAAGAACGGTATAACATACATTTTTTCGCTGTCGGGGGCGCCTGTCCCTGGGCGGCTGGAAAGTTTATGCCCTTACGGTGGCACCGTAGGGATATAAACTTTCCAGCCGCCCTGGGACAGGCGCCCCCTACAGCGAAAGAATTTATGTTACACCGTTCTTCGCCCGTTAAAGAATCGGCGTTTACGAAGCGGCCCTGGGCGTCTGCTGAGCAGCCCTGTCCTGCTCGGTGTTCATATTCCTTGGGTGCGTTCGCGAGACGGTGCTTCTTGTTTTGTTTTGTTCTCTTCTCTCTGCGAGGAGCCGATAAGGGAGAAGACGGCACGAACATGAACATCAACCTTTGGAGCTCCGCGCGGATTCTCTCGGGTCGGCCTTGGGCCTCCCTGGCCGCGCCGCCGCTGCCTGCCGCCCACTCGGGCGCGCCGCGCGCCACGGGGGGGGGGTCCAGCGCAGAGCCCTGAAGTCCGCGCGGGCATTTCCGCAGTCTTATGGTTGCGTTGTTTCTGGTTGCTCTTGCCCTCCCCGACCGTATGCCCTGCTGCGGCGCAGGAGTGTTTTTCTCTTGCTTTGTTTCTGGCCACGTGGCGGTCGTCCGTCGTGTGGCCTGTGCTTCCTAGCCGATGGGGCTGCTGGAGGTCTTTTTTCGGTCAATGAGGTCTCCCTCACTACCAGCAGCGCTGTCCCAGCCACCGCTGCTGTGTTCACCAAGGCTGTGCGGGCGTTGAGCTCAACAACATTCTGGTTGCTCCTGAACCAGGCGGAGAAAACTATGCACATGCACCGTTCCTGGCAATGCCCATCTTTGACCCAGGATGGGTGCATACACCTTCCTGGCCAAGGTCGGAGGGCGTATGCACCGATCAGGGGCTCAGGATGGGCCTGGCCAGCAACGGTGTTTGTGTGTGTGTGTGTGTGTGTGTGTGCATCTACCGTTGCACAAGCAAGAGGAAGCCGTTGCACAAGCAACGGTGTGTGTGTGGCAGCAAGAGGAAGCCGTTGCACAAGCATCTACCCAGAGATCCGCGGCTCCGACAATTATTTTTCAGCGGCCAGTCTGGGGCCATTTATGTCCGGCCTCCGGGGGCCCTCCACGGGCCCCAGCAGGACCGTCCAAGAACGACTCGGGCTTGAGTTGTCCCCCGGCCTCCCGCCCCGCAGCTGCGGAGCGGCACGCTGCCCGCTGGCAGCAGCGCGCCGCGTGTCGCTGGGGCCGCCGGCACACCAGGCAGGAGTGCCCGGCCGTCGATATGTCAGGGGGGAGCGACGCACACAGACGCAATGGATCGTCGACTTCCAGGAAAAGATCGGGGAAAGTATAGGAAGTGGGGGGGGGAAGACAACAATATTGAAGAGATGGGAAAACTATCCTATTATTTTTATGTATTTGTTTGTGTGTCCCTCTTTTAGCGGAAGAGGTTCGCTCTCGCCCCGCAGCTCAAAAATTGTTTGTGTGTCCCTGGGCTTCTTTGCAGTTCTGCGTGCGCTTCGGGTTCCGCAGGTGTTCCAGGCCGCCTCGCAGCTCGTTGGCGCGGCGCTGGACGGCCCCCCTGAGGGCAGATCCTACGAGCGCACGGTGATGATGTGCTCGAAGCTCTGCAAGGTGTTGGACCAGGTCAGCGGCGCAGACAAGCGGGTCCGACTGTGCGGACCACTGCGCGTAAGCTGCCCGTCATCTTGCGCAAGACATCCCTTGGGGGGAACCCTGAGACCCCCCCTCCCCCAGGGGATATGCGGACGCAGCCCTATCGAGGATGGACGCCCCCCATCGTATATCCCAGGGCTGGCCCCAACATTTTTTAGTCCAGTCGAAAACTCCACGAAGCGTGGATAGGGGGTCGAGACAGATCCCCTTCTCTTCAGCCGCTCAGGTGTTCAAGAACCTTGGCAGCGCCGACATCCACCGCTGGTCCAGGCTTCTCATGTTCCAACCTCCCATAGCCTTGATCACTGGACAGAATTTCGAGCACCAGGAAAGTACCGAAACTTGAGGGTTTTCACGTGTCGGGCCCTGGGAGGCGATTGTCGTTCGGCACTTCGCCAGCGTGTCGGGCAGACACTAGTCATTTCGATACCTTTTCTGGGCGCTCGAAATTGTTGCTGGGATGCGGTCCGTCAGTACGACGGGAACAACATAAGTCCAGGCTCGTGTGCAGCAGCAGCACATTCCAGCAGACGTTCGCGGAGCACCCCCAGGGCCCGCCGCTGCTGCAGCTCGCCGGCTTCGGGCCGTGCCCGGAGGGTGATGCGCTCGTGCTGGCGGCCGAGCGCGGGGAGGCGCGCCTGCGGGCGCTCGCGGTACGGCAGTACCTTGCGAAGCTGACGGAGCTGCAGAGGAGGAAGAGGTACCGATACCTCCTCCTCCTCCTTTTCCTCCTTTTCCTCCTCCTCCTTCTCCTCTTCCTCCTCCTCTTCACCTCCTCCCTCCCTCCCTCTCCTCCCCTCCTCCTCCTCCTCCTCCTCCTCCCTCCTCCCTCTCTCCGCCCATCCGACTCCTCCTCCCTCCGCCTCCTCCTCCTTCTCCTCCGCTCCTCCTCTCTCCTCCCTCCCTCCTCCGTCCTCCGCCTCCTCCTCCTCCTCCTCCCTCCTCCTCCTCCATACCTCATCCTCTCTCCTCCTCCTCCTCCTCTTCCTCCTCCTCCTCCTCCCCTCCTCCTCCTCCTCTCCTCCTCCTTCGTCTCCCCCTTCTCTTCCTCCCCTCCCCCTCTCCTGCCTCCTCCTTCTCCTTTCTCCTTTTTTCCCCCCTTTTTCTCCTTCCTTCCCCTCCTCCTCCTCCTCCTCCTCCTCCTCCTCCTCTCCTCCTCCTCCTCCTCCTCCTCCTGCTCCTCCCTCTCCTCCTGCCTCCTCCTCCTCCTCCCTCCCTCCTCCCTCCTCCTCCTCCTCCTCCTCCTCCTCCTTCTCCTCCACCTCCTCCACCTCCTCTACCCCTCACCCGTTTTCCCCTTCTCCAGCCTCCTGGGAGGCCCTCGGCGCCACCGCTGGATCCGCCCCGAACTCGCAGCCAGAGCGCACCCCGGGAGAGGTCAGGGGAGCAGCAGCATGGATACCTTGTGGTCTTCCCAGGAGCTGCAGAAGGGGCGCGGCACGAGGCGCTGGGTGGACAGCGGGAGCCTCCGGGGGAAGCAGCGGTGGCCGTCGGGAACCTCTGGATGGCGTGTGGCTCGCCGCCTGCTCGGGCCCGCCGCGCTCCGGAGCGGCACGCTGCGGTCCCGGGGCGTGCACGTCCCGAGCCTTTCTCGGGGGCGGCAAAGAGGGGGGTAATGACTAGGGGGGGGGATATCATGGCGGGGGTCATGATGTTTCCCTAGATTTCATGGCGCCTCTTCTTATTTCATTACGTCCCAGGCCCCCCCGCTGGGCCGCGCACATGCCGCCGGTCATGATTTGCACCCCCCCCTCTTGGACACCCCCCTCTTGGCCGCTCCCGAGCCTCCCGTCCCGCGGAGCGGAACGGCGCGCGATCCGCTCGCGAGGCATAGCGTGTCGCTTGGGCCGCTGTGGCAACACGCTATCCCAAGGTTCCGACCGTGGCAGCACCCCGCAACCGCGGGTGTCAGTGAGGGGGCGGGCGCGAGGCGTGTCCTGGGTGGGTCGCGGGTGAGTTGCGGGTGGGCCGCGGGGGGGGTCGCGGGGTGGGTCGCGGGTGGGTCGCGGATGGGTCGCCAGGGGGGGACGACGATGGCAGCAACAACAACAATCACGACAACAGTCATTATCAAATTGTTCGCTCTTATCTGCTCGCGTGAAATTGTTCAAAACGTACATCCCAGTCCCTCGATACCCGCTTGCTTCGTCTTCGATCGTACCCCCTTGGGGGTAGATCTTCCTTACCTGCCGCGTGTACTTGGTACAGACACTGAAGCAGGGGGGAGGAGGGACGCATGGACGGGGGAGGGAAACAAATGGAACACAGAAATATCGGGATGCTGAAGCGTGCGTTCTGCATGAATCGCGAGGCCTCGTGCGATACGGCGATTCCCAAGCAAATCGGAATACATCCACAGCGAGAGCGTGATCCTTGAGTGTCGAGGGCGCGGCGTCTGAATAAATGGCGAGGAAGTCTCACGCGAGCGCGCGATTCTTCATACGTCCCAGTCGGGAGCGCGATTCTTCATACGCTGTGAGGAAATATCAGGCCGGAACCGCTGTTGTTGTAAACCAGAGGCCAAAGACGCCATTCTGAGACCCAAGACTTCCCCTGATGAAAAACAGGATGCGATCCCCAGGAGGGGCATTTCAATTGAACAAATGCCATGTGCCGCGGAGGGAGAGATCAACAATAATCATTTTGCAGCGAGGAGAGCTCTACAACAAGAGCAGCGACACCAATACTATTTTGAAGACGGTTCGCTTTTAAGTATCCGAAACTCACCCTCGTACATCACGTATGTCCGCAACCCTCGATACCAGCCTTCTTCGTCATCGATCGTATTCCCTTAGGGTTATATTTATTACCTGCACCATGTACTGCGTGCGGCCCCTAAAGCAGGGGAAGATAGGACGGATGCCAGGAAGGAACCACGGGGAGGGAGGAGGACGGAGCAAGAGAGAGTAGCAGGGGCGGGGCCAGGAGCAGAAAGCACGTGGCAGAACCAGACGATCATATCGGGCAGGTAGACCTTAACGGGCGGGTCAGGAAAGCGGGCCCAGGCGGCCAGGTCGAGCAGGCGGGTTGTTGAAGCGTGAGTCTTGTATGAGTCGCGAGGAAGTTTCGAGCGATCGCGCGATACCCAAATGAATCGTCATGAAATCCACAAACAAAAGCGTAATTCCCGAGTGTCGAGGGCGCGACGTTTGAACAAATCGCGAAAAAGTCTCACGCGAGAGCGCGATTCCTGCATACATTGTGAGGCAGTCTCGCGTGAGAGCGCGACTTGGGAATCCATTGAGAGGAAGTAGCAGGCGGGAGCCGCTGTTGTTGTAAACCGGGGGCCAGGGGCGCAGTTTGGTGGCCGTTCTCTTTCGATTGTAATAAACAGGGTGCGAGCCCCTGGGGAAGCATTTTAATTGAAACTTGCGATGCGGAGCTGGGATCGACAATACTAATGTCGACCAGAACGCGAATTCAACAACAAGATGAACAACAACAACCACCACCACCACAACAACAAACACAGCAAGAACATCAAAACCAAGGACACTAACAATGTTCGCTGTGATTCGCCCGTGCGCCATGCATCACATGTATCCCAAAACCTCGGTCCCCGCCGTCTTCGTCTTCAAACGTACCCCTTTGGGGGGTACATCTTTTACCTGCAATGCGTATCTCGTGCAGCCCTTAAGGCGGGGGACGAGAGGACAGATGGAAGGAAGGAACCAGGGGGAGTGAGCATAATGGAACACGAGAGAGAAAGAGAGAAACAGTAGCACGAGCGGGGCCAGGAGCAGAAAGCACGTGGCAGAACCAGACGGGCAGATCGGGCGGGTAGACTTTGACGGGCGGGTCGGGAAAGCGGGCCCAGGCGGCCAGGTCGAACAGGCGGGTTGCTGAAGCGTGCGTCCTGTATAAGTCACGAGGAAGTCTCGAGCGATAGTATTCCCAAATGGATCGTGAGGAAATCCGCAGCGAGAGCGTGATTCCTGCGTGGCGAAGGTGCGGCGTTTGAGTAATTTGTAAGGAATATCGCGCGAGAGCGCGATTCCAGCATAATTTGCAAGGAAATCCCGCGCGAGAGCGCGACTTTGGAATCACTTGTGAGGAACTATCAGGCGGAAGCCGTTGTTGTTGTAAACCGGAGGCCCGGGGCGCAGTTTGGTGACACCGTGTTTTCCATTCTGAAGCCAGGGTGTTCTCCTTGTTTTTTGGGCAAATGCATCGGTCACCGCGGGGAATTCAACAACAACAGCACCAACAACAACACCAATACCTACAAGTACAACTACACCTACACCTACAACTACATCAACAACCGAAAACAACAAACCAACACAAACCCTGCCAAGGAATCCGATTTCACCCACGCACCCAGGGATGGTGCAAGATTTGACGGGTACCGATGCCGCCATCCTTTTCGCCTTTGTTGGGGCCCTCGTCGCCACGAATGGATATGCCTCGAGATCTTGGTCAGGACGTACCCCGCGAGAGGTCCAGGGAATATTGTGGGAGTTTTGGCTAAGGAATGTGCACAGGAGGCTTCAAATCCTGGAGGGTTCCTTATCTGATAATGGCAGCGGCGATCTGTATGGCCATTTTGCCAAGTACGCTGCATACTTCCGTCGTGTCCACAAGGTAAACAAAACCTTTTCCTGACTGGGCCCTGGCCCCATCGACATCAAGAAGGTGTATCAAATCAGCGACGATGAGGTAGTACTGTTTTCACAAGTGGATGCTGTCATCCTCGGATACATGGGCGGCGGATCCGCAGTTTTGCTTCCAGAAGAATATGATCGAGTTGTCCCTCTCTTGGGTGGTGGCTCGGCGGAGAAAAGGTGTGTCAGAACTCGACGCGGACAGGGGAACCGCACAGACGAGGTGGCTTTGCAGGCCACCAAAATTAACGACGGTTGTTGGTAAACTAGCGCGCTCTGGTGGGCAGGGCTCGTTGTTGCCATGGGATAAGCCCTGTAATACTTTATGCGTTCGGGTTGTCCGAAAGATGTGGGGACAAAACATTTTGGCAAACGTGGGAACTCGAACACGCTTCTGAAGTTTGGCAAGTCGAACACGCTTGCGCAGGCGGCCGCGTCAACTCGGAAGCTGCCGGCGCAGAAAACCCAACCCACATCAAGATTGTTGGCCTTGGCCTGCGGGGGCACGCCGGCACACCAATTTGAATAACGCAGTCTCTGGCCGAGCGTAGCTACGACAAGCTGCCCGTCATCGTGTGCAACAGTATGGGCGGATGCCAGAATCCGCGGGCATCCGCTACGTTCATGTTTTTATATGTCGGGGCCTGTGACGAGGAAAGTAACGGATGAGGTGATGACAGTGAAGGGCAAAATGTCAAACCATGCAAGTGCCAGATCATCAGCGAGGGTGAGAAGGCACCTAAGCGTCACGGCGTACCGGAAGGAGCTCAGGACGATAAAGAATACAGTGTGCCGAGCAGCCCGACCAGTTCTGCGCCTGACTTGTTCCAAAATTGTTGGCCGTGTTGACATTGTTGGGAGTGTTCTTCAACGACCAGCGAGTTCGCCAACACTTTTTTCAATGCTGATATCATTCAGCACATTGCGTGATCCGAAGGGGCGCTCACTTACAACAGGACATATCATCGCGATCCGAATCGTGAAATCGGCGGGGCTGCATGCGACTATGGATGTGGAATTGTTTATATGGGGTCTGTCGTGAGCATCAAAGGTCACACCTGATGCCGAGATGGTTCAGACAGCGATTGAACGAGAATGACGACGCTTATTGGGCCAGCGATGTGGTGGCGAGCGAACCAGTGCATGGGCGTCGCATGAACAGACCAAGTGATGATAGATCCTTGGGAGTATCGGGTGACATGCAAGTGGGATGTGATATTTCATCCAGATGTGCTTTCCAACGTGCGCCGGCTGAGTGGGCGGCTCCAGAAGATCTGTCAGTATGGACGGTCCAACGTGGATTGACGAACGTTGCGAGCATTCCGAAGACGGGGAAGCGAATTTGGCTTTTCGAGGAGACCTTGCTGCAGCTTGCACCCAGAACTACATGGCCTGCCAACTTCAGTTGTGGAATTGTTGCGTGCCCTGCAAAGGCCCCGCAAAAGCAGCGCGAACGACCTCAATGAGGCCAAGCACAAAGCCTGGGAGGGCTTCACCAAACAATGCGTTCGAGGAGGATGAGGGGGACGTCGAGATGGAGGACTAACATGCCCCAGGGCCACCTGGTGACTGCTGTTATCCCTGTCGGCGAAGAAGGTTTCTCAAAATAACGACGTCCGGCAGACTCTCCGCGTCAAAGCGCGCCGAAGGCAGGGCAACCGCAAGCGCCGCATGACAGGATATGATGGAGCTGGTGGATTGCGGAGAAGAAGGAAAGGGATTGGATGCGTGTGCGGGCATTGATCTTCATGAGAAAGCTGGACGTAGGCCAGTGCCTGCTGATGATAAGAAGCCGAGGGCGCGCGTTCTGAATTCTATGAGGCTTCTGGTATCTTCTGAAGTACAGCGGCATGTTATGAAGCGCGAAGCTACGCCAGCTGGCGCGACAAGGATTGCGACCGGGAAGGGTGGAGACGCGCGTTCAGTCAGAGCTGCACCCAAGACGACGATGGCCAACATCCGCACTTGGAAGCTGAATCCCGATCAGAGTACTGGAGAAAGACTGGCGTTGAACACGAGTCATCCGAATCATGAGAAAGTGACATGACTGCTCCGTAAAGGCAAACGTGTTGACGATGTGATCAAGGCTCGGCGTGAAGGAGCTTGCCGCTCCCAGATAGATTCTGCCGAAGAGGGAAGAGCGCGGCTTCGTCGTGCAGAACGACGGTTGGGGGAAGCGAGATCCTACCTTGGGCTCTCAGAGGTTTCTGTTCCATCCTCGGCCAAGCGAGCTGGATCTTGTCTCGGCGTAGCGCCCGCGGGTCAACGATCGCCGTCAACCAGGAATGCGAGGGGGTTGGCCGTCGGCAGGAGCCGAACGGGCGTTGACATGCGAGATGAGGCTGAAACTATGGATCTCACCGCTCCGATCGACCCCTCGCGTGCAGCTCGCCTGAAGCGCCCAGCGACTGGGGGGGTTGCCGACGAGGGGCGCCGCGCGCAAGAGCGCGCGCCATGCGCGGCAAGTGGAAGCCCCTCGAGCAGACCTCGCGGGCCACGCGCAAGGCAAGGACACCCCAGTTGAAGCCGGGCTGCGCCGGCGAAAGGCCCGCGGGCAGGGGCGAGTCTTCGAATCGAGAAACCAGGGCTGCCAGGCAGTAAAAGAAGCGGCTCGTGAAGGAGGAGATCACGCTGAACGCCAGGCGCCACGCGGCGACGCACGTCGAGAGGCGCTTCGATATGCTGGGGGAGAGGCGAAGCTGCAGGCTGAGTTCAAGGCGGAGCCAAATAGGCGAAAGGCGGCGAGTAGGCCGGCTGGCGTTCCCAGGAGACCAGCTGCTGCACATTGGTTAGGCATTGAACCTGCCGGCCACTCCAGCTGTCGCGGTCGCGGGCCATGCGCCTTGGAGGGGGCCTCGATCACAGAATATCCTCACATTCGGTAGGCAATGCCCTGCCGCCTTGGCTTCTGGCCATGCGCTTTGGGAAGGGGGCAGAAGACGTTGCGCGTGCGACACTTGGAAAGCCCCCTCCGCCGGCGGGCGCGCCCTTATTCCTCGGCCAGCGGCCGCGCGCGTTTTTTTTTTTTTCGGGGGGGGGGGGGCGGCGAGTCTCTCAACGGGCGAGATGAAGTTTCTGGCGCATGTTTCGCACGCGCCGATTCCCCCGTCGAATGTTTCGCAAGAGCTGAGGAGGGCCCGCTTCTTGGAAGAGGGGTCTCGGCGGCGAGCCGGGAGGAGGGCGTCGTTATTTCGCGATCGTCTCGGATCTCTACAATCCACTTCGCCCCCCTCGTCAGAGCCAGACAGCCAGATATCGCGGGCGAGGGCGGGCGCGACGATGAGGTCGACGCGATCGCCTCCATGGGGGGTCCGCCAGGCTGATCTGCTTCCAGATTGGCCGGTCGACGCGGCGCAGAAAGCCGGCTTTTCCGCGGCGCTCCGCGCCTCCTCCACCGCGAGACAGGGGTCGCGGCAATCTCGCGGCAGAGGCGGCCGGGGAGATGAGATGCCGCCTTTTCGGGGTCAGCGGCTTGGACATCGGACGGCGGGCATGCGGGCGCGCCCTGCAACGTGCTTCTCTGGATAGTTCCCAGCCAGCTTCGGCGCGACGTGGATGTTCTATTTTTTCATGATAGCCGAGCGATTGTCGAAGATGCGCGCCCAATCTTTGTGGTTCGGGACCTCGAGTGGCGACTTGTCTCCCAGCGGGCGCGCAACGTGTCCCTGCGACGACGCAGGGCGCGGCGCCGACTCGAGCCTTCGGAAAGCACGCTGTCCCATTTACAAGGGGGCGGGGCGCTGCCTGGCATCCCGCACCATTGACTGGTCATGTCTATCATTCGCATGCCAGCTTTGGCTTGGAACAGTCGAGGCTTCGACGCGCTGCAGATTGCGCGCCACTGCCAATCCCACCTAGAGATGAATTCCACGTGATACAGACAGAGCTGGGCGACAGCATGCAGGACCCACAGCGCAATGATATCAGCCTGCGGTGGAGTCACTGGCGCACCAGGGCGGAATTGAGGACACAGCTGGCCGCGGGGGAAGACGACTGAACGCCAGGCCGAGAGAGCCAAAAGCTCATCACCAATTTGAGACCAGTTGGATTTGGAGCCTTACGCAGACCAGATCAGATTATTGCGCGCGGGCGACTACTACGACTACATCGGCGGTTTGTAGGACGCGCGCGGGCTTGAAGATCCGCATCTACGCCAGCGTGGGCAGCGCTTGATACCCCTGCTCCCGATGCCCTGGAGACCAGTTCGACGGCCTTCGCCATGGATGACCTCGCCAAGGAAACGGTTCGCCACTAGTACCTGTGGCCCGCGTTGCCGCGCGACGCCCGTGTTTCGATCGCCGGTTCCAGCAGCATTTTTTCGAGCTAAAGAGACGAGACGCGCTTGGCAAACGCAGCGGTGCCCGGGGGATTATTATAAAAAAGCGAGGCAGCATGCTGCGCAGTGGAAGGAGCACGCGGCCCATGTTGTTTTCCGGTGGTCAAGATTGGATCTCCGAGAGGGACGCGCTCGACCTGGTGGTCGACAGTCTCGAACATGTTGGGGTCGCGCGAGCTGAGAGCCATCGCGAAGATCTGCCCCGAGCTGGCCCACGGTGTGTACTACCTGTGGGTTGACACCTTATGGGGCTGCAGAGCGAAGGGGTCGCTTGCGACGATGTGTTCTTAGATTAAAGAATCTCTCACTTCATAAATGTATTAAGTATATCCATGCCGAGACGCGTGAATTCCTAGATATGGAGACCGGTTTCTGTCTCTTGGTGCGTTGCTTGTAGGGTGCGCTGGCCATGGCCCTGCCCGCGCCGCACGACAACCAGGCGGCAGGCGCGCAAGGCGCGTCAATTGTCCAACCCATAGCTAAGTTGCAGTCAGAAGTGGCACACGTAGCGAGGGGCCGAGTTTGACCCTGCGAAAGCGCGCGACAGCATCGATCATGAGATGGGAGAACAGGCGCCCAAGATGTGTGACGCACCTGGTTTTGTGATCTACGCGGCTCTGGCGGCGTGGAAGGGGAAGAGATATCAGCGCGTCGTTGGGAAAGTTGCTGAGCCAGTATGGTGCGACGTCGCCCGTGATGATCTGGCCACGACGGAACGTTTCGACACGGACCGTGGTTCTGTTGAGATTACCGCCTGGTGACAGTTGTGGAATCCTGATGATGCCCCGAAGGTGGTGGATCATTTTGGTTTCAAATACAGTCCAGTCAACCTGGACTTCGCCAGAATTTCGAGGAAACGTTGGCAGACCATTTCTGATGCAATCAGAACTTCTGGGGATCCATACTTCGACCAGCTGATGTGCGTGAGAGATTGGCGGTATTTTACATGAGGTCTCTGCTGTAGTGGGCCTCCCCACTTCTATCGCCCGTGCGCCGGCAGATTCCGAGTTTGTTGCACAGGGCGGTCGTACGTACGCACTCTAAAAGGTGGTGCCAATGTTGGTTCTGGTGCCAGCGTGTTCACCTGCGCCCACGTCTTGGAGCTGCCTTGTACGCACTACATACGGCGAGTGAAGGTAAGCTGTAGTGGTCTGAGTGTGTTGACACAGCTTTTGGTTGACATTCTGGTTCTTGGGATCGATGTTGACCACACTCGTCAACCAGAACGGATGTGGTTTTTCTGGGGGGGGGGAAATGGAAACATTGATGATCACTGGGCTGTGGAAGCAGTCCGAGGTTTCTGCATTGCGAATATCTTGAGGTTCTGAACGAGGCAGCCGACGGACGACAGGCACAATAGGAGGCGTGCGGCACGCTTCTAGGTCGGTTGCCCGAGTTCGGTGTCTCCTCCAGGTCAACTACCAACTTCGAGATGCTGACGATGTCGACGAGGTGGATGTTCATGTGCCGTCCTGTGGCACTTTTTTTCCAACAACCTTACGGGCTTGTCCGACACTGACAGGACGTTGCTTTGCATATACTTGTCGGGTGCAGTGACGTCGGAAACGGGACGCCAGTCGGTGAAGACCTGCAGTGTATGCGGGGTTGACTTGTAATATTTGAGGCCTGTGTGGGCCGAGTGGTCGGAATGTCATCGAAAGCGTGGGAACATCGCGGACAAGTTCGAGTTGCCTCAGATTTTCTCGACGTCGGTCCCCGAAGTGACGGCTTAGAGTGGTCTGACTATTTTGACTCAGGCTGCTTCTCTCCAAAAACTTTCTGCAATAATGAGGGGTTGATGTGAGCTGGCTCTTGATATTGTTACGCTGGATCCGCACGAGCGCCTCCACGCGGAAGGATGCTGAGGCAAAGCTGGTGGGCCGACTTCGAGACAGAGGGGCTCAACCGAATCTTTTTTTGCTATGGCCAACACACGATTTGAATTTCACTGGCTTCCCAATCTTGGATGCCTTATCCAATGGTTCCTTGTCCGATGCCCTCACCTTGTCCCGGGACTTGACAGCGCGAAATGCTTCGGAACACTGTCAAAATCAAGACTCGAACGCTAGACCCCATCTTTCTGCGCCATGTTCCAAGCGGGATCGATCCGTGAGGTCCCAGGGCCCAGAAGCTCGACAAAAAAAGAGACCGCAGGATCGTTGTGCTTACGCTTCCCATGGTTCCTGATCTAGTGCCTGCTTACCGCAGCGGTAACTCGGTACCTTCTTCTACTCCCCCCAGGAACGACTCCGTGGTGCCGCAGCCCGAGCACGCACACGTCTGCGATTTGCTGCTGCTCTACCGCGAGGTTGCCCCGGTCTTGGACCCAGCGGCGAGCCCGCCGCCTGAGCCGTCCAAGCAGGAGCAGGCGCCGGCGCTGCGCGCCTCGGGAGTGGCCCTTCGCCGGAGTGTCCTTTTGTGGGGGCTCCCAGCGAGATGGGGGCGGCGGTTGTTGAGGGAATAGGGGGGCCACCAGGGCGGAATAGATCTGGCCTGAACCAGCTGAGGAATGGGTTCGAAATGCGTCAACTGGCTTAGGGGGGCTGACGATTCATGATCAGGGCTAAGTCGGCGGAGCCCAATTAGCGGAGTGTTTTAACCACCCAGGCCATTTGGGCATGTGTGGTTTGAGGCATGTGTAGCTCACAGCTGAGTTAGGTTAGGCCAGATGTAACCCACTTTGGCATCCATTGGTAACCCCCCCCTGTGCCCTGAGCAATCTCCCCGCCCATCCCAGCAGATCTCCGACGATGTGGCTTCTTTAAAGCTCAATCCAGGCGGGTCCTCCTTGGCGTTGGCGACCTCCGGGGGCCGTCTCTCGGGCCCCGTGGGTCCGGAGGGTTCCAAAGGGGGTTTTTGGGCAGGCGGTTTTCCAGAGAGCCCCCCAGGGGCCTCAGAACCTCGCCAAAATAGGGGGTGCGAAGCCCCTGGGAGACCCCTCCTGGAAGTCCCCCTCTCCAAAATACCCCTTTGGAACCCTCGGGTCCTGGGTGGCCATCAGAGATGGATCTGGGGCGAGACATTTGCCCCCGAGGCAAGGGACCCTCAGCCCTGGAGCAGCGGGCTGGAGGGCTGGGGGCTGGGAACGGCCCAGGAGGCAGGGGACAGCCTGACACGTGTTTCATTACCAGCCGCAGGGCGCCTTGCGGACGAGGAGGAGGAGGAGGAGGAGGAGGAGGAGGAGGAGGAGGAGGAGGAAAACGAGGAGGAGGAGGAGGAGGAGGAGGGGAGGAGGAGAAGGAGGAGGAAAACGAGGAGGAGAAGGAGCAGGAGGAGGACGAAAGTGTCTCCGTAGCCTTTTCCGGAGGAGGAGGAGGAGGAGGAGGAGGAGGAGGAGGCGAAGGCCTGACACCTGCTAAGGCCTTTCTCATCACTATCCGCAGAGCGCCCTGCGGAGGAGAAGGAGGGAGGAGAGAGGAGGAGGAGGAGGAGGAGGAGGAGGAGGAGGAGGAGGAGGAGGGGGAGGAGGAGGAGGAGGAGGAGGAGGAGGAGGAGGAGGAGGAGGAGGAGGAGGAGGAGGAGGAGGAAAGGGAGGCGAAGGCCTGACACATGCTCGGGCCTTCCCGTCGAAGGCGGCCAGGCCGCCACCTCGGCGCCCCGAGCCGGCGGGCAGCCGGGCCGACACACCGCCACGACGCCAGTGGCGAAGCGGGGGTCCCCGCGGCACCGGCTGGCGCACCTGGAGTTGCCCCCATCCCTTCAGGGGACAACGACAGGGCCTTCCTGCGGCTGCGACTTCCAGCGGCTCCTCCTTGCAGCGGCTGCGCCTTCAGCGGCTGCGCCCTCCAGCGGCAGCCTCGGGGGGTCTTCCAGCGGCTGCGCCTCGCCGAGGGCGCTCCGGGAGTGCCCAGATCGTCCCGAGCGGCCGCAAGAGCCCTGAGATAGATGCAGCCCGAAAGCCAAGGGGCACCGATGGAGGCGGGATAGGCTCAGGGCTCAGGGAGGGATGCGTTGATCGCCATTCGCCCATCGCCGATAATGAGGGGCCTGACAGCCCACCTCCGCCCAGGAGCGAGCGATTTCGCTATCGAACGCATGTCGCTGATCTGTCGGCGATGCATCGCCGATGCCAGGTCGATGCCTCCCTCCGGGCCACAGCCCCTCCCCCCTGACGTTCCCCCCCCCCACCCCACCCCCTGCTGGAGCCGTGCACTAGAGGTCACCCTCGTTGTAGGGCCACGTGCGACGTCTCGTTTTCGATCAATACGGGGTCCCCGAGTCCCGACCCTCTCCCCGGGACCGGCTTCTCACCCCGAGACGTAGTTCGACCGCCCCAGGGCCCGGCGAGGGCCTCCGCTGAGATTGGCGCGCGGAGGGGACGAAGGGGATAGGGGGTTTTCAGCAAAAGCAAAGGTGGGTGATCTCTGGCCCCATCTGGCTTCGAAGTGGGCGACAACTTGTGAGGTCTCCACTAAGTGGGCTCCGCCCACTTCGCCCAGATCGTCACGCTTCTGGGCTACATGGGGCATTTGTAGCAACCCACTAACACGCTACTTCTGGCCAGATATAACCCACCCTTACCGAACACGGATGATCCTCGTACAGTCGAACATCGGATTCAGAAACCTCCTCCCGAAAAGCTCGCCCAGCGTTTCTCAACCAACTTGCCAGAGAGCTGGCCCCGCTTCTTGAGCACGCTCGCCCCTTCCGCGTGAGGGTGGCAGCAGCGTGCCCAGGCTTGTTGAAGCCTCCGGGAAGCTGGCCCAGGTTAGGGGAGCAAAAAGTGACATAAACATAAAAACTCGGAGGTCCGCGCGGATTTCTCGCATCGGCGCTTGGGCCCCCCAGCGGCGCCTCCGGCGCCGCCCCTGGCGCGCTCCGCGCGCCAGGGAGGGGGGTCCAGCGCCGATCCGAGAAATCCGCGCGGACCTCCGAGTTTTTATGTTTATGTCACTGTTTGTTCCCCTTAAAGGTGTCTGCAGCGATGCTTCTCGAAGGATTGCAAACAAAAAGAAAAACAAAAAAACAACAAGATCGAAGGATTGCAAACAAAAAACCCTTCGAAGGATTGCAAACAAAAAAACCTTCTGTCAGCTCTTCGGCGGCATTCCCTCCGCAGTCCCCGCGCCGTCCGAGGAGGAGGAGGAGGAGGAGGAGGAGGAGGAGGAGGAGGAGGAGGAGGAGGAGGAGGAGGAGGAGAGGAGGAGGTGGAGGAGGGGGGGGGAGGCGGGGCAGCTCCCACGAGCCGTCCGGGCCCCCCCCCCCCGCGCCGGGCCCTCGGGGGGGGGGGCCGGCCCGCGCTGCGCGCCCCTATCGCGGCGCCTCGGCGGGCGCGGCGCGGCGCTCTCGGGACCCCGACCTCCCGCTCGGCAGCCGTCGGGGCCTCCTCTCCTCTCCTCCTCCTCTCTCCTCTCCGCTGCTCTTCCTCCTCCTCCTCTCCTCATCATCCTCCTCCTCCTCCTCTCCTCTCCTCCTCCTCCTCCTCCTCCTCCTCCCGCGTGGCGCTCGGCGAGGACCATGCAGCGAGGGCGTCCTGCCGAGGCCCCCCCTCGCGCGGTGAAGGCATCCTGCCAGTCCCAGGCAAACACCTCGGGTCTGGCCAGCGAGGCGTCTTCCCCCTCCAGGGGCTTCCAACTCCAATCGAGGAGGCCACGACACGCCAAATGCGCGCCGAAATCAGCTGTCAGAAGCTGACCGGAATGCGCGGCCGAAACCCCGTCGTGACTTTTGCCCTCCGCGCGACCATGTCTGGGCTCCCCGCGCGCGGCCGGAGGCGGTGCTGGCGGCGCTGCTGCGGAGGCTCAACGCCCGCCGCGAGTGCGACGGGCTCGCGCCGCTCGCGGGCCACCAGGCGGGGCGCATCTCGATGCGATCGATCTGATTCGATGTCGATTCCAGCCGGCCCGATGCGATTCGAGGAGGAAAAGGAATCCATACGTAGCCCCCCGCGGGTGCGGATCAGAGTGAGGGGGCGACGGGGACGTCGGCAGTCTGCAAGGCTCTGAAGAAGCCCGCCGCAGGCGCCGATTTTGGTGCTAAAACAGTGTAGGTGGGTCGCGGGTGGGTCGCGAGCGGGTCGCAGGGTGGGTCGCGAGCGGGTCGCAAGGTGGGTCGCGGGTGGGTCGCGGTTGGGTCGCGGGGAGGGTCGCGGGTGGGTCGCGGGTGGGTCGCGGGTGGGTCGCGGTTGGGTCGCGGGGTGGGTCGCGGATGGGTCGCGGGGTGGGTCGCGGGTGGGTCGCGGGTCGGGTCGCGTGGGGGGCGACGACAACAACAACAACAACAACAACAACAACCAACAACCAACAACAACAACAACAACAACAACAACAACAACAACAGCAACAGCAACAGCAACAGCAACAGCAACAGCAACAACAGCAACAACAACATCAACAATTACAACAACAATAATTTTACCCTCATGCGCGGTTTTTTTCACACGAAGCATGCGACCGTCACGCTAACTATCCACATCACGGGGGACTCTTGTTCTATAGTGGGGTCCGTTATTCCCATTCCCAGATATCCCGCCCAATGAGGTCTTGCAAACACCTCCTCCGAGGAATTTCAACATATCCCGCCTCGAAAACACATGCCCGCGCCTTGCTGCGCCGATGCGAGACCGCCAGTGGAACCCCAGCGAAGGGTAAAGCACAAGGAAATATCGAACGACAGGATTGCCTTGGTGGGGATGAGGGCTGTCGGCGGTGAGGCAAGGACCTTACCCTGAATAGAAACGGAGGACGTCTCGAGCAGGGCTGCTGTTGCTGCTGGGAGCGGCGCCAGTGCTGAAGAGAGCAGGGCGGTAGTCCAGCGTAACACAAAACGAGGTCTCGAGCGGGAGCGCGGGTTTTGTTGGGACGGCGGCTTTCGGCGGCGAGGAGGAACGCCGCATCGAGTAAGAAAGAAGGAAACATCGAGCGGGAGCCGTGGTTTTGTCGGGACGGGGGCTGCCGGCGGCGAAGAACAGCACCGTCCCGAGGAAAACGAGGAAATCTCGAGCAGGAGCTTTGTTCTTGCTAGGAGCGTCGCCAATTCAAAAGAGAGTAGGGCGCCACCCCAGCGTAAAACGGAAGGAAGTCTCGGGCGGGAGCGCTGGTTTAGTCGGGGCGGTGGCTTTCGGCGGCGAGGAGGAACACCGCCTTGAGTAAGAAGCGAGGAAGCATCGAGCGGGAGCCGTGGTTTTGTCGGGACGGGGGCTGTCGGCGGCGAGGAACAGCACCGTCTTCAGGAGAACCAGGAAATCTCGAGCAGGAGCTTTGTTCTTGCTAGGAGCGTCGCCAATTCAAAAGAGAGTAGGGCGCCACCCCAGCGTAAAACGGAAGGAAGTCTCGGGCGGGAACGCTGGTTTAGTCGGGGCGGTGGCTTTCGGCGGCGAGGAGGAACACCGCCTTGAGTAAGAAGCGAGG